TTGTTTTGGACTTGTTTGGATGAGATTTTGCAGGAGAAACATCATCTGGTGCACAACACAGTGTGCACCAAATCAGAGGGGCGGCCCTAGCCGCGACCCATCAGAAGGGCCGCCGGCTGGAGCCGTGGTGGCACGAGACTATGACACGGACCTAGAGGAGGGCCGTTGCCTAGTCCTGGCGCTTCAACGGGGCTCCAGGGGCGGACCATGAAGAGTCCCGCCCCAAGTCCCTGAGTATAGTCTGTGAAGGATTTTTGTGCAGTGGCCGGGCCCTTGTGGCTCAGCTACGTGTCGTTTCGGACCGAGTGTTACGGGCCCTTGTGGCTCGGCTCTTCGGGATCGTCTCGACGTACGTTTTGGCTTTGATTTCGTTGAATTTGGATTAAAAACAAGTATGTTATGAAGGATTTTGTGAAGAATTGCTACACAGTGCATATTTGCTAAGTTTACTGTGTATGAAGAATTATTTGATTATTGTGATATGATGATATTTTATTGAGTAAAGAAGCATGATCATTTGAGAATATGATTTATTATGAAAGCATGTCTAAATTGTGATATTTGATCAATGAGAAACAAAGCATATTTTGTTGAGTGAATTATATAGAAATTGCTATGTTGCAAACCGAGCATGATGATATATTCTTGAATACTTCGTGTTAGTTTATACGTGATTTAGAAGCATGTTATAGAACATTTTGACATTTCACATGAGTCATATTTCAAAAATGCATAAGGGGCCAACGTGAGCCCAAGAATACTTTCAAAAACCATAAGCATGTGGTATATCATTCTTTGATGCATTGAGAAGTAGTAGAATTGTTGCATGCATGAGAGATATATTTATGTATTATCTATATCGGTGAGGTTTTGGAGGATACTGTTTGGACTATGTTCCTCTCGGGAGATATTTATGGACATTGCGGTCCTAGTATATGTAACGCGGCGTATCCCCACGTTACGAGGTTGGAAACTTCCCGCCAGGCTTGGAATCCTGGTTTGGGGGTGTGCACACTAATAGTTCGATACCTGATTCCACAGAGTTTGAACCACGAGATTGGTTCCGTAGACGGTAGGAGATATTGGGTCGGAATTATGTCGTTTCCGATGGGGTAATTCACACTTTTGTGAAACCATAAACCGTCTACGAGTATAAGAGAAAGAAAGAGAGTCAACAGAGACTCAAGAAAGATAGTCAATAGAGACTCAAGAAAGAGAGTCAATAAAGACTCGAGAGAAAGAAAGAGAGTCAAGAGAGACTCGAGAAAGTAACAAAGAGACCTCCACAGAAAGTACTCTAATTTATAAAAGAGTGTATGAGTATATTATTGCACTAGATTGCATATGAGTATGAGTATATTGTTGCACTAGATTGCATAAGAGTATGATTATATTGTTGCACTAGATTGCATAAGAGTATGATTATATGGTTGCACTAGATTGCATATGAGTATGAGTATATTGTTGCACTAGATTGCATATGAGTATGAGTATATTGTTGCACTAGATTGCATAAGAGTATGATTATATAATTACACGAGATTGCATATGAGTATGAATATATTATTGCATTAGATGGCATAAGAAGTATGATCATAATGTTATACATGATTGCATGTGAATAGAGCATCGTAAGAGATTGTTTAATGAGAAGTTTAACTTAAGATATTCCTTTGAGCATGATTATCGTGTTGTAGTAGAAGCTCTACTTATCAAGTTATGTGATAAGAATGTGAAAGCATGTAAATACCTGTTGTATGGTCCTTTAACATGATCCAATCCGAAAGCATGAATTGCTTGTTAAGTTATCTGAGAAGTTTATAAGCTGTTGAATCTAAGTGAACAGTTTTGTACATACATGAGCATGCCAGCTGATATTATAGGATGCAAGCATTTAGAAAGAATGTGATAAATCTTAAGATGTTTTGAGATTAGTTTATTGCTATAAAGATATCAAATGTTTTCAAAGTATATGCTAGAATGCTTTACAGGGTTAAGTGTGGTTATACTTAGCTTCGTGCTAACGGGTGTTTTCCTATTTGTCTATGTGTTGCTTGCAAAACCCCTTTCAGGTGGGCCCAGCTGTGTGAAGAAGTCGAGTTAGATTAGTCTCGTAGATAGAGAAATCTAAACTCTAGTTCGGTTGATGATTATGTTATGGATTTAGACTTATGACCTTATACTCTTTGATGATGTTGTAGACTTTTGGGGTGATGTTTTTCCCCCTTATGTTTCCAGTATTTATATTTAGTTCCCAGACTTAATCTTATTTCTAGTTTTACCCATTTTTGCCTGTGCAATCACCAAAGAGTGGTGGTTGTGGCGGTGACACTCCCGCTATTTATCTTTTAGTTTTCCGCTGCTTAGTTATGTTAATGACTGTTTAGAGATGTATTTAAGAGTTAAAAAAGTGGGGTGTTACAATTAGTGATGCCCAAATCTGCCTTTAATAGCCCAAGAAACCAACTCCAAGAATCAGTGTTTTCTATCTCTACAACCCCCCAAGCTATAGGATACATTTGGTTGTTAGCATCTCTACCAATTGCACTTAATATTTCACCTTTCAACATTCCCTTCAAAAAACATCCATCCAACTAATTACTTTTCTACATCCTTCTAAAAACACATTCTTTATAGCTCCAAAACAAACATAGAATCTCTGAAAAACACAAGGACATTCGGGCGTTGTTCTATTAGTTTGTACAATAGCTTTGGTACCGGGATTAGAATTCATACATTCAGCAGCATAATCCCTTATTCTACGAAATTGGTCTTGAAAACCAGCATCATTTTTCTTCAATATAGCTTTGATTGCCCTCTTTACCATGCAAATTCCTACATTTAGTTTCAATTCAGATTGGATGTGTTTTTTCAACTCTATTGGTCCAATTGAAGGGTTGTCTCTTATCTTATCCTCATACATATCCTCAATCCACGCTTGGCATACTATTCTCAAGTTGTATTTTAGATTGCACCTGTGCTCCGTAGTCACTGTTTTAAGTTGAAAACACTTGAAAGTGTCATCCCATGATCCATGAGCTTGAAATGGGCAAGGCTGGTCACATGCAAGGGACACACGCTTTGGCTCATTCCTCACAAAGTGGATATTTCTCTTTGAGTAAACTGCATAATTGATCATTGCCTTTCTAAACTGTTTTGCATCGTCATATAGGGTACCGACTTCAAGCTCAACTAACTCATGTGCAATGTACTTTTATCATTATTCAACAATTGGAGGCTCTTCAAACTCTCATGTGGTAGTTTAAATGCCAGTGACAATATTTTACCATACCTCTTCTCCTTAATAAATTTCAATAAGTGAGGATATGATAAAAAATCAGGATCCATTGTCACTGTTTCCACCTCACCACCTACATAGTCCATCCTAGGTTCTTGGACAAGATTCCCACCATGGTGAAGTCTTATTTCAAGAGTGGAATACATTCTACAAGTTACAAATTCAAACTCAGCCCATCTACTAGAAAGGCAACTAGAACATTAACAAATACAAAGGAAAATATGTGAACAACAAATTGAATCTTAATCACATAGAAAGGCAAATATGTACTAATAGTATATTGTCCCCAAAAGTACAGAAAGCTACTAGAACATTAACAAATACAATTCTTTAAACTGACAATATACAAATGCAGCATAACGGTAGGGACCACAATACAAAGGCAACATATAAAATACAATTACACTTATATTGCAATGCATTCATCAGGACCACAATACCCAAAATGTCTCCATTATTAACAACATAATGGGACCCAGTTAATAAATAAATACAATCAAAGATACTTCCCATTCACCCTAAAGATATAAAAGGCTTTATTTTTTCCATGCCCAGAATTCCAGAAACATAAACAAAATTCTACTGCTAGAAACCCTACATACTTACGGGGAGAAGAAATAGAAAAAAAAAAATTAAACAAAAATCAGTGCTAGCATATCAGTGATAGAAGAAAAAGAAAAAAAAAATACCTTCAATAGCCCAAGTAGTCAAGAGCCAGCTACCGGTGGTGGAGGTCGATGGTGGTGAAGGGTGGTGGAGCGTCGATGATGATGAAGCGTGGTGGAGAGTCGGTGGTGGTCGTCGATGGTGGTGGATGTCGCTGGTGGTGGCCGCGAAGGTGATGTGCGAAGCCGGACAACCGACTGGACGACAGCCGCGAAGGTTATGGCGAAGCGGGGCAAGAGACTGGACAAACAACGCAAGCTGAATTCTTATTTAAAATTTCTTTTTTTTTTATTTAATTTAATTTTTTAATTTATGCTTATGCTTATGTGGCGAGAAAAAAATTAAAACAAAGGTTATGTGGCTGTTACAAGGGCAGTAACTGGTTTTTACAGGTCAAGTTACCGGTTAATGGGGTCTATTGACTCAAAATCGTGTGTTCATGTGTTCAATTGAACTTTTTAAAAGTTCGTGGGGCTAATTGACTTTCACCGAAATGTTTAGGGGCATATTTGACTCTTTTACCTAATAATAATAAAGGAAATACGACTCGGTTGAACGGTAAATGAGGCATCAAGAGACTTGAATTTACTTCTTTATTATTATTATTATTATTATTATTATTATTATTATTATTATTATATTTTAAATTTTAAATAAAATTAAACGGTATTTCCAATCAGTTTTTGATCGAATCATTCGGTACGGTTAATTACTTTAATGTTTGGTACGATTTAGTTCGGGAAAATCAAACCGAATTGTCTACACCTAAAGTTAATTACTGAAATTGTCCATTGACTATAGAAAAATTATCAATTTGGTCTACAGAAGTCTAACGGTAAAACTAATGGAGGACCAAATTGATCAAGAATTTTAAAGTTGAGGACTTAATTGGTCAAAAAAAATAGTCGAGCACCAAATTGGTAATTTTACTATAGTCAAAGGACGTTTTGGTAATTAACTCTAAATAAAAGAAGACAAGTACAGAGTAGATAACAATAAAACCAGCCTTCGGACGAATCGATATCGTGTCGTCAATAATCGTAGAAGTAAATCACTGATAAATTGAAACTAATTCTCCTCCCGGCGGTCATTTTCCGGGAGACTTGGCCGGTGGCCGCGCAATCTGTAAGTTATAGTAGTACGCCTTCCCTATTAACCTGGGCATGCTCTTCAATATACCTTGCATTTCTCTGTCAAATATGGTCTAAAATCATGTACATTAATTATCTATGTTTTTTGTCGTTCTGCACTTCCGATTGTATATGTATTCTTTTATTTGGACATTGAATTTGTTTGGTTATCTGCGAATTCAGCTGCATAAGTTTTAGTGGTCGGAATATTCCATGCTTGTGGATATTGTGTTTGCTGAGTTCCAGAGGCGCTCTGGTCGAGACAGGGAGAGCTTGTAATATGGCCATTATGGATTTATTTCTTATTTTATTTTTTCTTGGTACAACTTATGTTTGTTAAGGAATGGCGGAGCTTTCTTGCTGATTAGGTTTGAATTAAATTTTTCTTCGATTATAAATGGTATTCAGGTGCTCTTAGTTTCATGGGACCTTTGATGATAATGTTGGAGTAAAATTTGATGTAGGATTGGCTCATTTTGGACTCTGTAGGCTTCTGAATTGGTGCAGTCTCTGCTGAAGCCCACATGTCTCTCAGCATAGTTCCTTCCTGCTTGGGTCTACGAATGTCTCAACTACTTGTTAATTCAGGCTGTCTTCAACAAGAAATGAGATTATGGAACTGTGGAAGATATATGATGAAGGTGGCTCAAGTCGTAAGGCCTCGGATCATACCTTGTATTAAGGCGAACGCTAATGGCTTACAGGTCTTTGTACTGTCAGACTTGCACACAGACTACTCTGAGAACATGACTTGGGTGAGGGGCTTATCAAGAACTGTGGGGCAGAACAAAGATGTTCTCCTTGTTGCTGGAGATGTAGCTGAGACTCGCAACAATTTTGTGTTAACTATGTCTTTGTTGAAGGATAGGTTTGCACATGTTTTTTTTGTGCCTGGAAACCATGACCTATGGCTTCGCAGGGAGAAAGATAACAACGTAAGCAGCATATTTCTTTAAATTTTACTGCTGATGCCATGGATCCAATTCTTCCAAATATGAATGTAGTATTCATTTTATTTGTATGGGTGAAGATGTAGTGACTTTAACATTCTCCAAAAGGATAGAACCCATACCCATTTTATACCCCTCTGCTCTCAAAGCTGCAAACAGCTCCATTGTGGTTCAGAAATCGGTTATGGGCTATAATTCCCTTGTGTTTTCCTAAACTATGCTAATCATTGCCTTGACTCTAAGGCCTTGATTGGATTGGTATGAAAATAAGTGATTTGGGATTGCATGGATCCCAGGACAAGATGAATCCCTTGGTTGAGGTTGGGGGATCTATAGTCCTGGATTATTGTTGAGGGGATTAACTCTCTTATTAACCAATTGAGTAAGAAATTTGATGGAGGTGGAGAAAATATCAAGTTTAACAAGCAATAACATGGTAATACTCAATCTTGGAAAACAAAGGGATTGAGGGTGGGGATTAAAAGTATATTTTCTTGCTTCTCTGGATTTCTATTGCAGTTGTTCCCAGCTTTTTGCTCATTGTTACTTGGATACTTCCAGGCTCTACTACTATTTGCTTGCAGTAGCCTTAGACCCCAAGACACTTTTTGCTTCTTTGATGTGCTCATTTGTTTTTGCTTGAAAGGGGCAGACCTTTTTTCTATTGGCTTTCAAGAATGTTATTTTTTGCCTAATAAGAAGCACATTCTTTTTCCAATGTTTAGTATTTATTTATCAAATTATTACAGCTTATTAATAACTTACTATTATGCTGGTACTGTCTTTAGGTTAATTCTCTTGAAAAACTTGATGAATTGCTTGATGCATGTCAAAGGATCGGAGTGGAAACTAATCCTACAGTGGTTGACGGTTTAGGGATTATCCCTTTGTTCTCATGGTATCATGAGGTAATTGTTGTACAACTATCAAGGGTTTCTCTCTTCTATAGAAAGTTTGTTGTGCTTAATCTAGTTCATCATGTTTATTTGTCAAACAATGCTCTTCTTTTGCCAGAGCTTTGATAGGGAAATGGACATAACAAGTATTCGAATTCCGTCGCTGGAGCTGGTGATTCACTTTCCTTCTAGTAAGGATTTCAATTTTTTTTACCATGAATGTCCTTATATGTCAACTGCTTTCCCTTCTAGGGAGAAAATAATTGAAAAAGGACAATGCTACTGGCACAAATCGTTTGCATCAAATTCTATACCATCTGATATTGCTTGAGATTGTAAGATATTTGGTGCAAAATGCAAATAGCATTTATTTTCCTTCAAAAAATGAAACGATATAAAAAGCTTAAATGATTGAGGGGAAGAAAACTCAGAGACACAATGAAACATTTCTGTTTATAAGAGACATTCACCATCTTGCAATTTGTTTATACTTTAACCAACATAATATTTGACTTCTATACTGATTAACTTTCCATTTAACTTGTACTTTTTGCACTGTGATGATATATTTACTCTTGTCCTCTGCACTCTGCATTATGTATAACTTGTGTCATTTAACTTGCTCTATAATATATTTATGTATAGCATACATAATTTTCTATATTAACTGATTGCATCATGCTATGTTATTTTTCTGTAGGAATTTCTGAAAATATTCTTTTTCTTCAAATATGTATTTTTCACTAGATTTCCTCCTGATGGATCTACCTTAGGTAGTGATATTTTTAGTTACCACATTGTAACTATTTCTATGTAGGCATGCAAGGACTATAATGCATGCAGATGGCCTGCTGGTCTCATAAATGGGGATACTTCCCTTGCTCTATATTTTGATGGCATGAATGACAAGAATCAGGAGAAAGTCAGGGAGATGCAGGGAAGATGCCATCAAATAATTTCTTTCTCACACTTTGTTCCCAGGTCAGTGAATGCACACTCTGTCTTCAGTACTAGTTCTTCTTGCTTCATTGTTTAGGTTTATGGCCTTAAATCATGTCATCAAATAATAGCTACACAAGAAGAAAGCAAAAAAGATAAAGCGACACTATTTAATGCTCCCTCACTTTATCCCAATGCATGGTCACCGTCTAACTTAATGCACTATTTGGTCTCAGTTTTCAATCATCAAATTCAGTCCCTCAATTTTGACACATTTGTCTAAATGATCCATCATGCAACTATAGAGTGCTAAAGATGGGCAGTGTGCCAGCCTTTTTTGGATGATGTAAAGGTTCTGTTCTAATCTCTGTATTCCATACTATTGAGTCAAGAGAATACACATATTTATACTAGGCTATGCACACTAACTATGGTAAGGATCAATAATATCCCTAAGATATTATACACACTATCCCTAAGATATTATACTGAGATCATATCAAATATTCTTCTACCATATAATGTCTAACACTCCCCCTCAAGTTGGAGCATAGATATTGATAATGCCCAACTTGTTACATAAGTAATCTATTCGAGGCCCATTCATGGCTTTTGTAAAAAGATCTCCTAGCTGTTCTCCTGTCTTCACAAATCCAGTAGAAATTAAGCCTCGTTGTATCTTTTCACGAATGAAATGACAATCAACTTCAATGTGCTTGGTTCGTTCATGGAAAACAGGATTGGCTGCAATATGGAGAGCCGCTTGATTGTCACACCATAGCTTCGCAGGAATAGAGTTCCGTATTTGAAGTCTAAGAGCTTGATTGTCCATGGGACTCTAGCTTAACCTGTTTAGTCTAAGAGCTCTTTGACAGTTTCACAATGACTAACAAAACCAAATATTTCAGATTCAATTGAGTTCCGTATTTGAAGAAATAATTTAGCATCATCACGCAACCAAGTTTGCTTAGCTTTGTCATCCTCGGGTGGGGTGGCAGTCATATGGGCATCTTTGTCAATACTACGCAGATATATTTTAATGGTTCGTTTCCAATCCAAATGATTTGAGCCATTTAATTTGTGTTCTGTGATTCTTGCATTAACTGGAAGAATATCGGACACAACTATAGACTTAGGCTCAGACATTAGGCTATCCAACAAGAAGATATCTCAAATCAGACAACCAAACTTCCAGAATCAGACCTCTAAGCCACAACAAACACACAAACAGCCACACAACTTCACTGTCTTGCAAAGCAAAAAATAAGAGGGATATTACCGGGACCTCCAATGCCAAAACCGAGCCTAGAGCAGCGACGTAGACGACCGGGCGACCTCGGGAAAGTAGACCGGAGTGGATTCCGGCGCCGGAGTGACGCACACGCGCCGGCGCGTGGACAGCCGGCGAGGGACGAAGGCGGCGCGTGAGGGCCACTCGCCGGGCGAAATCACATCGAATTCAGCAGTCCGGCCTATCGGCGACCGGCGACTCTGCTCCTGATGGTGGTGACGACAAACGGCCGACGACAATCCCGACCCAAACCTCCACCGTGCGCAGAAGCAGAAAGAGGAAAAAAAAAAAAAATTTCTGTGTTTTTTTTTTTTCTTTATGTGGCTCTTGATACCATGTTCTAATCTCTGTATTCCATACTATTGAGTCAAGAGGATACACATATTTATACTAGGCTATGCACACTAACTATGGTAAGGATCAATAATATCCCTAAGATATTATACACACTATCCCTAAGATATTATACTGAGATCATATCAAATATTCTTCTACCATATAATGTCTAACAGGTTCCATTTAATAAGTATACCATAATTCCAAGTTTAGGAATGTTTAACATATGTTCATCTGAGTTGTACACAGTAATTGGTTTTGCATGAGATCTAGCTTGGTTGGAATTTTTGCACTGAATCTCAGTTTTCTCCCACCTGTAATCTTATCTTGCTTTCTTGATCCCCTTTGTTTTTGTTTTTTTTTTTTTTGGAGGAATATGTCATGGAAGGGGGTTCTACTGTTCTAAACTTCTCTTAGAGCATCCACACCTTTGGTTTTTTGTTCTGAAAAATCCAAGTAAAAACCACTGATATTGGTGGTCTTAGAGGGGTTTTTAATGATATGGAGGAGAGAGAAAATCCAAGGTTGTCTGCTAAGCACCTGGTTTTGGCCAGGGAAAAAGGGGAGAAAAAAGAGAGGAGGAAACCTGCGCTGCTTGCCTTTTCTGGGGTGTTCTTATTATTATATTTTAAATTTTATTTTCTCTTTCCTCCACCTTTGCTCCCAAATCTGACAAAAACCCAAGAAAATCTTCAAACCTATGGGGATGCTCTTATGGTATAATTTTGAGTACTTAGATTGGATACCTGATCACAATGTATAGTGTATAGGAGGAGTTTCTTGTGATCCATCCCTATACAAACAAAAACAAAATTGTTCTTAGGGTTCAACCCAAGTTTATTGAATTCTCACTAATCTTGTTTATGTCTTAATTTTTCTTTGAACTATGTAGAAAATATGAGATTTGAACTGAAATTGGACTGGTTTGGTTCATGGGGTTGGGTAAAGACTTGGAATATTGAATTAATAATTGTCTGATTTCCCTGCTTGGTTTTCTTTTGGTACCATCCCTATTCCCTACCAAAAGAGCCCTTATTTATTTTGTTTCGATTTTTGAAGGGGCTGCTGCCTGCTGGTGGTTGACGAATTTCCATTCTTTTATATCTTGCTCTACAGTTACAGTTGAAATTGTTTGTTTTTGTGAATAAGTTGAAAGTAAAATTCATTTGTTCTGTGCATATTTGAAATACATGGATGATAACCCTATATTTTGGGTGTAGCAAAAGATTTGTGTATAGCTTTTGTAATCTACTGTGAGCACTAATGGGTGCTTTGTTTTGTGAATTAAAAAAATGAATAGTCATCTTTACTTCAGCATAGCCTTAATAGTCATTTATCAAACCATTATTAATTATGATAAAAGAGTAATAATCTTAATTATTTTCTGCTACTCCTTTATTTATTTGCAGTCTAATTCTATTGTGCAGGCAAGAGCTGTGCCCAGAAAAGAGAATGCTTTTCTATCCCAATCTCCCTAAAATTGCTGGATCTGAGTTTCTTGAGGCTAGAATAAGACACATCCACGGAGCTGAAGGGAGTGATTTTGCGTGTCACGTGTTTGGTCATACACATTTCTGCTGGGATGCTGTCCTTGATGGTATCAGGTAATCTGTGAAATGATAAATGTTGTTTTGCTTATATGATGAGAATTAGAATCTGATCTCAAAGTAAAATATAATGCCTCTATTTGTTGTGGAATGATGAGTTGCGTTTGAAGCTATGATGAAAAGATGCAACCACAACATTGATATGCTCTTTCCTTTTGTTAATATAAAACTTGTTAGTGACACAAGAAGTCAATAAATCAAAGAACAAGACTGGATTGATTGCTTATAAAGAAGGGAAGATACTCAACTAATAGTACAGTTAATCCTTATTCTAAATATTAGTGAGATAAATTATTAAATTACATGGATTCCATTTCCTCTATATATATATATATATATTAAGCATTTTAATTTGTTTTGAATTTTATTTTTTTTAATAAGAAGCTGTAGTATTGTATTACCATAAAGATATTCTCATTTTGTTTTTTTTTAAAAAAAAAAAAAAATTGTATGCAGGTATGTGCAGGCGCCATTAGCATATCCAAGAGAACGTAAAAGGAGAATGAATGGGGGAGAAGAATGGGTGCCATATTGCATCTACTCCGGCGGAGAATTCTCAGAGCAAGTGTTACCCTGCTATTGGTCTGATTACTATGCACTCAATCCGAGAAATCCTAAAATTACTCAACTTGCCCCTTGGGTTGCTACATTTTATCGTAGATCATCTTAATTAATTTTGTATTATGTATGTATGCTCTTCCTATCTGGCTATCTATATCAATTTATTAGCTAGGGAGCTGCAGTATTAATATATATTGTGTTGGTCACCACATAACCAAATTTATTATTATTTATTATAATCAAAAGCTTACAAAATGGAAACAACTAACATACATGAAGCACCAAAAAAACGTAACAGAGAAGAGAAACTAAGGAAACAATTCAAAACTGGACAGACGAGTTTGAACAACACCCTTTGGTCACACATATAAGGGAAGAAGCGAAGGTGGGTGGTAGTATAGTTGTTTGATTTGATAGTATAGTAGTAGTAGTAAGTTGGAGGGTCTAGTAGTCTTCTGCAGCAAGAGGCTGGTGATGAGTGTGGTGGGTGTGGGGAGGATCTGCGGCGGGTGGTAGTATGCCGAACTCGTAGATAAGGCCGGCTAAGCCTGCACCAATAAAGGGGCCGACCCAATAGATCCAGTGGTACCTCCATCTCCACCCCACCAAAGCCGGCCCAAAAGCTCTGGCCGGGTTCATGGATGCTCCGGTGAAAGGTGCTCCCACGAAAACATTAGCCCCTACTATGAAAGCAATGGCAAGAGGTGCAATGGTGCCTAAACTTCCCCTCTTTGGATCGATGGCGGTTGCGTAAACTGTGTACATCAGCCCAAATGTCATTATTATCTCCAGCAGAAGCCCACTCCCCCAACCTTCTCCGGCGGCTAAAGAAAATCCCTGAGGCCTCTGCATGCATAGGCATATATGATATATGATATATCATTATCCATCCATTAAATTAAACTAAATTAGATATATATATATATACCATGCCATCCAGGGAGACCCTGAGCAAGAGACAAGCTACTATGGAACCCAAGAGCTGAGCAATCCAGTAGTAAAGGGCAAGGAGGAAGGAGATTCTGCCGCCAACGAGTGCACCGAAAGTGACGGCAGGGTTAACGTGTCCTCCAGACACGTTAAGGGAGGATGCAACCGCCGCAAAAAGAGCGAGTGCGTGAGCAAGTGCCAGAACCGTCAAGCCCGACGCACCTAAAGCCGAATCCCGGTACAACTTGTCTGTATATATATATGGTCGTCATTAAGAAGCCAAGATATGATAGACGATGGAGCGGCTAATAATTAACATATATATATATACCTATGGCAAGAACGGCGCCTTCACCAATGAAGACGAAAAGAGCAGTGGAGAGAAATTCGGACAAGGTGGCACGCATGGAGTCTGGGTGAGTTGCCTCATCCGCCCTCCCGAAGGCGTATCTACGTGGCGGCGCCATCTAATTCTCCAATCCGGCCTAGCTTAGCTTAGCTTAGCTTGCTTGATAAACCAGTTGGATCAGTCGGTCGGTATTTCTCTAACAACGTAACTTTGAAAATAAAATTGCCAAAGAAAGAGATTGAGGTGAGAATTGAAGATGAGATGAGAAGAGAAGATCGAAGAAAAAGGAGAGAGTGCATGAGAATGCATAAGTAGACAAAATGAGGGGTTTGGACACTTGGGAGAAGGAGTGCGGGAAATGTGACACGTACTACATGCGTTGGCGCACCTCTCTCAACTCTCAACTCTCAACTCTCATCTCATGCATCGATATGCTCGCCTCGTCGTCTCATCACCCTAATCCATTATTACTTTTCACTTTTCACACCATTTTATTTTTATTTTTATTTTTAAATTACAAAAACGTACTGGTATGCATAATAAATGCATGCTAAAATTAAATTTTCCTAATTAATCTAATCTATATTACATACTACACAATATATAACAATTATATATATTACTAGCTTTTTACGTGCATATAATGCCCCTTGCTTTTTTTTTTTTTTTTTTTAATAAGTACTTTAAAGTATATCAATGCAAGATTATATTGAAATTGTTCAAGCATAGATAATTGAATATTAAATTTGCGTATTTAAATAGGCAATTCTAAGTTTACAAATGCAAGATAATATATATAGTCAAGATTAATTATAATTGTCAATAAAATAATTGTATAGGTATGGTTGAAAACAAATACGGGACATAAGGGAGACCAAATAAAAATTAGGACACAAAATATTAAATATATACTAATATTGAAGAGCTAACTGTTGATTGCCAAATAAGGACATTGCAAGATAGTTTTCCACTTCAATTTGTTGTGTGATTTGAATACTCTTTTTTTTTTTTTTTTTTTTTTTTTTTCAATAAATCCCTAAGCAGTTAATATGATTGGCTTAATTATATATTTTTTTTATTTTTGTATTTTTTTAAAAACAATTATTATTATTGTTATTGTTATTATTATTATTATTATTATTATTATTATTATTATTATTATTATTATTATTATTATTATTATTATTATTATTATTATTATTATTGTGAGTAGTGTTATTATTATTGTTATTTGTTTTATAATATATAGTTTATATTTTGTGGCTTTAGACGTAGTCTTTAGTTTGTATCCTAATAGATAGGAGAGATTAGAGGTGTACTGAGATATACACTCGTGTAATCTCTCTGTTCTAACTGAATTGAAAGAATTGAATTTCCATCTGGTATCAGCCTAATCTTTCGATCCTCCTCTCACCAAATTTCCCCCCTCCAACCGTATCCCACCATGTCAGCCGGATCGTCTGAGCGTACTCCCTCCGCCACCGGCGGCTCGTCGCCGGCGACTCCCAACCCCCTAGCCGGCGCCCATCACTTCATCTCTATGAAGTTGAACTCCCGCAACTACCTCTTCTGGAGAACCCAACTGGTTCCGTTTCTCACCGGCCAAGATCTGATCGGCTATGTCGATGGATCGACTCCCTGCCCGCCGGCGATGATCACCAGCACAGGTTCCGGTGGCGCGACGTCGGCTTCGACTCCGAACCCGGCGTACAGGGCGTGGCGGCTTCAAGATCAATCCATCTTGTCGCTTTTAATATCTTCTATGTCGGACGAAGTGCTGCATCTCGCGGTCGGCCGGACTACCGCCGCCGCCGTTTGGCAGTCCATTACCGCAGCCTTGGGGTCCAATACGCAAGCCCGATGCTTGAGCTTGCTAGGCCAGTTCCAGGCTCTCCGACAAGGTGGCGCGACTCCGGGCGAGTATCTTGGCCGGGCAGAGTTGCTGGTTGAAGCATTGGCGCAAGCTGGGTAGTCATTATCGACGTCCGAGCAGAACCTCTACGTCCTGCGCGGGCTTCGGCCGGAGTATCGGGCATATGCTGCGTCGTTGACCGCCCACGCCCCTGTCTCCCTTCCACACCTTGCAGATCACCTCCAGGCCGCCGACTTCATATTGGCGGATGACTATCCGAGTGGTGGCAGCAGCAACACACCCACCGCTCTCTATGCGGGTCGCGGCAGTTCTGGCCGGAACTCCGGCAGCCACGGTGGCGGAGACGGCGGACGACGTGGAGGCCGTGGTGGTGGCCGCAATCATCGGGGTGGTGGACGCAATAATCGGGGTGTACCCCGTTGTCAAATCTGCAGGTCTCAAGGCCACACAGCGGTCTACTGTCACAAACGGTACACCACGCAACCTCCTGCCCAGGCACACGTTGCGGTTTCCGGAGAGTCCCCGGCCACATCCACACCGCCGGAGGACGCGTGGTACCCCGATACAGGTGCCACGGCGCATGCAACTCCAGATGCTGGCATGATGGCCTCATCTGAAGATTACACCGGCCCGGATACGCTCAGAGTTAGAAACGGTACAGGTTTAGTTATCTCCCGAGTGGGCCATGCATCAATCCCGTCAAATTCCAAATACTTGTCTCTATCTAATATTTTACACGTCCCGAAATTAACAGTTCCGTTATTATCTGTTCAAAAATTCGCTAACGAAAATGGTGTTTTTTTTGAATTTCATAATCATCATTTTTTTGTGAAGGATTCCACAACTCAGGAGGTGCTTCTTAAAGGCCACACCTCCGGAGGACTTTACAAGCTTCCAGTGTCTCGGAGTCAGTTCGCGTTCGTGACTACTCGTGCTACACCATCGACTTGGCACCGTAGGCTCGGGCATCCTCACAGTTTGGTCCAGAATAAAATCCTTCAACATTGTCCGGTCACCAAAATTAATAATAGTTTCGGGTCATGTACTGCTTGTCATCTCGGCAAGTCTTCTAGATTTAAATTAGATAGGGTCAGTGATTCTAGCGAAAATATTCTAGACTTATTGTATACAGACATTTGGGGTCCAGCTCCAGTACTCTCGTCTAGCGGTTATCGCTATTTTCTTCTGTTTGTTGACGATTACTCCCGTTATTGCTGGTTTTATCCATTAAGGGTAAAATCAGACATTTATAAAATATTTGAAACGTTTCGCGTGTTGGTAGAGCGGCAGTTTTCGCGCTCTATCAAATCGATTCAGTCGGACTTAGGGGGTGAGTACCGAAAATTACATACCACCCTCCAGTCCCTTGGCATTAATCATCGCCAATCCTGTGCATACACGCACGAACAAAATGGTCGCGTTGAGCGCCGTAACAGGCATGTCGTTGAAACAGGTCTGACTCTAATGGCCCAAGGGTTGGTCCCGCAACAATATTGGGACCACGCATTCGAAACAGCCACGTGTCTAATTAATTATCTCCCGTCTTCGGCTTTACAATTTGAAAGCCCATACTTCCGTGTCCACAAAAAGTTACCACCTTATCAATTCTTACGAGTCTTTGGGTGCTTATGCTACCCCTATCTAAGGTCGTACAATCGGCACAAGATAGAGTTGCGTTCCACTCCCTGTGTTTTCCTTGGCTACCCTCCGTCTTTTCGAGGGTATAGATGCATGGACCTATCGAGTGGGAAAACTTACATCTGTCGCCATGTGCGCTTTGACGAGACAATTTTCCCTTTTGCCGCAGGTACAACACCGCGGGTTAATGAGCCACAACCCGCGCCATGGGCCTCTGGGCCGATAGTTCCAGTGCCCACTATCACGTCTGCGCATGTTCCTACAGATGAGCCAGATGACTCTAGCCCTATTCCACTAGCCCAGGAGACTCCGCTTCTAGCCATTGAGCCTGCTACCCTAGCGACTCGGGGACGAGGTCGGGGTCGGGGTCGGGGTCGAGGCCGAGGTAGGACTCAACCTCAGGAAAGGGACCACAGCATGCGGCTACGTCACATGACTCAGGGCACTAATGAGGAATTTCAAGCCTTGGTAACTATAACAACGGACCCAACGTGTTACTCACAAGCTGTGGGCCACCCACACTGGCGGGATGCTATGGACCAAGAGTTCAATGCTCTTCTCCATAACAACACCTGGCGGCTTGTTGCACCTGCACCGGATATGAATATAATCGGATGCAAGTGGGTGTTCCGTACGAAGCGTACGGCTGATGGCACGGTTGAGCGGCACAAGGCACGCCTTGTTGCCAAGGGTTTCAATCAGGTAGCGGGCGAAGACTTCTTCGACACTTTTAGCCCGGTGGTTAAACCAACCACGGTGCGCATGCTACTGTCACTGGCCATCACCCACAGCTGGACTCTACGGCAGCTAGACGTCCACAATGCCTTCCTAAATGGGCACTTAGCCGAGACAGTCTACATGAAGCAACCACCTGGGTATGAAGATCCAGCACACCCAGATCACGTTTGTTTGCTCCAAAGGTCTCTCTATGGTCTGAAGCAGGCACCTCGGGCCTGGTTCAAACGCTTGCATGATTTCTTACTCACTACAGGGTTCTGTGCGTCGAAAACGGATGTCTCTCTATTCTACTATGTCTCGGATGGATCTCGTGTCTACCTCCTGGTCTACGTAGACGACATCATCATGATGGGCAGTAATCCTACTTTGGTCAACACCATATTAAATCGTTTGGCTACGGCTTTTCGGATCAGGGACCTTGGCAAACCGAGCTTCTTCCTAGGCATTGAAACAATACACACGAGTGCAGGAATGATCTTATCGCAAAGGCGTTATATGAATGACTTATTGAATCGGGCAGGGATGTCAGATTGCAAGCCTCTAGCAACTCCAGCGTCCACGACACAAGCAGTGACCCCGTCTGACGAGCTGTTTGATAATCCTACTCAGTATCGTCGTATAGTTGGCGCACTGCAGTATCTGACCATCACTCGTCCTGACTTATCCTATGCTGTCAACCGATTATGTCAATTCATGCACTCACCGACCGTTGATCACTGGGCCATGGTCAAGCGTGTGTTACGGTATGTCAAGGGCACTATGGATTACGGCCTCCGACTAACGCCTTCAACTTCCACGTCAGTACAGGCTTATTCCGACTCCGATTGGGCTGGTTGTCCGGTAGATAGGAAGAACACCAGTGGGTATGCAGTCTTTCTCGGAACCAATCTCATTTCCTGGCTTTCCCGGAAACAACGGACTGTGGCCCGGTCGTCCACAGAAGCAGAGTACAAGGCCTTAGCAGATGTGGCAGCTGAGGTTACGTGGGTTGTATCCCTTCTCCGTGAGCTAGGCCTG